ACAACGTGAGTGGGGAAATTCGAATAGTTTTGGCCCAGAAAGCGAAATTTGAATATCAAACACTTAGGTTCAAGATTATGCCAAAATTTCATGTTTGCCGGCCCGTTTTTGCTCATATCTCTGAGGCAAAATGAGCAAGAACGGTTTTTAACAGGCCTTTCCAACAACCTGACTTAAGTTGAGTGATATTTTTCAAAGGTCAAAGAATAGACGGTCTGATCCAGGAGCGTTTAATTTGAGCCATGTTCCTCTAGAAATAAATCTGCAAATCAGCCAAAAATATGAAACATAAATTCCAATTTGCTGTCCAAAGGTTTGTAACATACGCTCTTCCAAGGCAAATGTTTTACCTCTGTTGATTTTTCCGGATATATTTCGTAAGATTGCAATATTCACAGTTTGTATATCGTCAAACAAACATGAAGATATAAAAGTGTATATTTATGCAAATCAGTTTTCTTGCCAGCTCTTGTCTGACTGATTTTCAATAAAATATAAAGTGGTGAAAAACAGTTAACCCACTTGCCTTTCTGAGAACTTGAAAATTTCACTTAGAAGACTGAAAATAAAGCACTAAACGCCGTCGAGGCCAGCTCACTCATAATTCCTGGTAAAACTGCCAAAACTGTCGTGAATTAAAGACGCTAGAACTCAAAGTCCCTGCCCAAAAAGTTTGCTCGAGAGCTTAAGTTAGAGCTCGCATACTGCCGCGTTGCGGTTTGAAAGGGTTGAAGTTATATAAAATTACTAAGGGAGCATCGGTTGCTACCGGGATTTTATTTTACGTAGGTAATAAATCAGTAATTGCGTTATATGGCGGAATAAAACCGCTTCAGTTTCAAATGATGCGATTTTTGCAAGAAAAATAAAAAAAATGTTTGTTTCAGAAAATTAGTCGTACATACGTCGTTTAAAAAAATCCGTACAAATCGGTTTCTTGATCCATATGCACTTGGATATTATCCGCCAACAAAACAGAGTCTGAAACTCTTTGTCCGCTGAATGTCTCTGAGAGCCAAATTTGTCTTTCTAAATGTGTTGCTCTTTGACTGATATTCGTTAGCTTTTATTTGCCATTTGGTATACCACTTTTCTGTTTCACTCCCATGAATTATGATTTTATTATGGCATTTCCTGCTAGCCTGCCGTCTGCCAGCAAAACCGTGTTATCCGCACTTTGTCGTGATGATTTTTGCGTGTGTGTCGTATATTGTTTAGATCAAAGATTCTTTATTTTACTACACCTACACCGTATATTAATAAAATGCTTTGCACCAGATAAAACACGATGTGCACATCTATAAATGGTTTTCTAATTTGGTTTTGATGATTCTTTCGAAATACATACAATATCCAAAAAATAACCGGTTTTCAAAATATCGACATAAAATATTTAGAATTATTGATTTGAAAATTTTAAAGAAGCAGGAGTATTTGATTCTGATGTTAAAACACCATTTTTATCCAGTTTAATTTTATCTTTCAGTTTTCTTTACTTGAAGAGTGGAACTGTAACTTTTGTATCAGAATTGTACTTTGCCAATGCAACCTCCGGGCGGCATCAAAAGTAACTTTGTTTGTCTCCCGTCAGCGGCAGAAAACAGCAATTTTTTCTTCTCGCCAGAGGCAAAAAAAATCATTTAGGGCCATGTCAGTGAAGGATTTCCAACCCTTGCCTGCTAAAAGATTTTCTGTCGATAACTGGGTCTAATCTGGTTATTGTCTGTACTTTTTCAGTTTTTTTCCTCCAATAATTATCCTTTCCGGTATTTATATTTTTTGTTTAGAAAAACAAATATTTGATCACAAATATTAAAAGCATCAATTTTTCTGTTTCATCTGAAGAACATCTGTTTCTGCTACATATATTTTGAAGCTGAAAAACGATAGGTACAAACAACATTTTAAAATATTTCGTTCAACATGCTATATTTAGACATTTCATTAGTGCCACATATCGAATAAACGAACAAATAATATAATTATTTAATTGCAAACATACATAAAAGGCAAATCACAGGCCTGAAACATATGACGTTATTCCGGGCCTTTAATTTCATTAATTTATTGTGTGTCAATGTAAATTTTACAGCGTTTAATTCTTTTGGACCAAATGTCTGAAATTGTATGTATGTAATTAATTTTTCATTAATCAACGAAGCCAGTCAGAGTTTATAGAGGATGAACGAAAAAAGGCGGGCTGAATGTGTTGTATAATCACAGATGACCCGAAAAATTAGCAAAAAAAAATTGTTAATTCTGATTTGAAATTTGGCAATATTTTTTTGTCTTCCACTGGCAAAATACTTATTGTTCAAAACAAATGTAAGAAGTGATACTAAAAGGCAAATAAAAATAGAAATTTTTCTAATGGAACCAGTAAGAACCAGTTCATGAGTTTTATCCCCAATTTATCCCAAAGCTTTACACCTAAGAACAACAGTTTTAGTTTTAATGTTTGATGATCTTCGGGGCGATTTTATCATAAAGAAGTTATTCGGGCGAAAGTTTGCAAAGTTGATAGAGCGATAGGGGAGTAGCTCCTTCAACTATTACTTTAAACGACCAAATGAGCATTGAACCACTTTAAAGCATGCCTTAACTGCAGAGTTGAAGTTTCATTTTTAAGAGCTAAGATCTCCCAGAAGTAAATAAAAAAAGTGAAACTAATTTTTCCTGCTTTTTAAACGTGCAGTAAGCACTGAAAAGATATTTGAATTTATTCTGTAACCACCAGTGAAGAAGTTTAGTGCTTTAGTCAATCAGTGTTGAAAATTTGCAATATTTAATAAGCTTTTTCATGTTCGAATCCCAAATTTCTCTACAGTTAAAAATGAGGGCAGCCTATCGGGGTTTCTGAAACTTTTTAATCTGTCTTTCTACAGCCAGCAGAAAAGTTTCCTACTTTGAGTTAACTAGACTAAAGAAACCCATTGAACGATGTTCTTTGCAAAGTTTCTATTTTCCTTTTCTCAATCTTGAATGTCTAGTGCTGTGGCCGAGATTAATCAGGAGTCTTCACTTGCAGTGTTGAGTTTCAGCCCACCTTTGTAAAAATTTACCTCGCTGGCTTCAAGTTTGAACCGATTTTAATGAGTTTGGCTGATAATGTAATTTTATGCGAAAATGCTAGAGCAACATTTAGTGAAACTGAATACTCTTCACTGTGAATTTATGTAATTGCGGCTGGACTGTACGTAGATTGCGGCTGGAAATCCGAGAAATGCACATAAATTCCTTTGACATTATCAGGTCAACATCTGTTTTGTATGTAGTTTTTATATTTGTTTTTAAAAATGTTTTTTTCACTTTTTTTAAATCATCTACCAGAGTTAATATAAATGGGCAAGTAAGCCAGAAGCAAAAATATATTAACGGACTCTTAAATGGTGTTCAAAGTTAATTAAAAGTTCGATTGTGACCCAATTTGAAACTTAGCGCATAAATTATTATTGATTAAAAGGAAAGTTGGGAGGTTCTGGTATTAATTGTGGACCACCGCCAAAGTTAAGCAAATCTGTTTGATATATGGAATATTTAGGGAAAATGTTTTAATTTGCTGTGCGTTATTAATGCGAGAGCAAAGTGGAACTTTGTTTCATTCTTCAACTAAATGATTCAGCCGGTGATTTCATGCTTGAGTAATATATTTTTTTTCGATAAATCTTGGAGGATTTCCAGCTGATTTGTTCGCTAGTGGGAAATAATTCTTCTAAGTCAGAGAATCGCTCCAATTTGCGCCTAATGATGCTTTCGTTATCTTAACGGTATATTCTCTCTAGGTGCTAACGGGCATTAGTCGAATTACTCTTTAAGCGCTCAATTACCCAACTTTACGATTTCGGTTTATTCTTAAGTGGATTTTTTTCGGTTTGGCAATTTTTCGAAATTATTTTATTGCGCTTCGTACCTTCATACTTTGTACTTTTTAGTAAGTAGTTTTGTGCGGATAGTTTGACTTAATTTCAGGAAAATAATTTTGTGTTAAGTTTACAGCAAAATCGGATAATACTAATTATAATTATGAAGTGCGTTAGCCATTCGGTCAATGCTTTAGTACACTAAATGTTGGATATTTTAATCAATTCCGCTCTAGCTATAGAGTTAAATAGTACGAAATGCATGGTCTCTCAAATATCATCCGAATTTATGATATCAACACACTGTTATTAAATGGACCTGTTTGCGGACGAGGAATCGCCATTTCACCTCATTGCTTAAATTTGATTCGAATCCTAAACACACTCGAAACGCAATTTAATTAATTTGAAAGAGATTACACTTAATGTTTAAAGCCCGAAATTTAGCTCGGTGCTTTTGGAATTAAATTAAGCTGGTGTCTACCAAACTGAACCTTGTTAGATAAAGTATATATACCCAACCCGTGAAATTGTTGTCTGTCTTCCAACGTTAAGAGCTTGAAGTTCTCTCAATGTCGGACTTGAACGTCGTATGCGCTGGCTCTTCTTAGTGTTAGCTTAGCTGATGGGCTGTAATAATTAGAACCACACTCGATGTTACTAGAAATTTGCACCTAGAACGCATAAACACCATTTGACCCCAGGATAACTAACTAATCAGCAGTTTGTTCGCATCAACTAAATAATGAAGGTTTATAAGGTATGGCGATTTGCTTCTATGATGTGTGCGCTCCACATCTTTATACAGACTGGACAATTCAAAATTTATTCTCACGTCTGTTCCGCATAACAAATTATTCTTTCGATTCAATCTAGTTCAACATTCAACAAAAACATTCCGACTTTGTTTTGCCTTTCAGTACAGTAGAATGAGGTCAAGAAAGGAGGCAACTGCTATCAGACAATGAAAGAAAACTGCATGAACCGAACAGAAACAATCCACAAATCTGCCACTCAGCTAATCAACAAAGATCGATTCGCATTAATCACTGTGAAAACATCTTTGCATCCAATATTACATCAAGTATGTTGAGAACCATTTAATAGTGAAGTTCCAGCTGTTCAAAATTAGACTGCTTAATTATACTGAAGCATAGTTTGGTGTTTCGCAGAACATCTACGAGGAATAGTTGGTTATTTTAGAGCCGATTTTGAGGGTCCTCAACAATGAGTTGCAGATGCAACGTAAATTGGTTCAATAATAATTAGCTCAAGCAAATATTTAGCTAAAATATGGTTGCCTTGAATTGTTTAGGGTTACAGAAACATGTAGTTTTAGATGAGTTTTATATGGTTGGGGCCGATTGTTTGAAAATCCTTTTTTGTGGGAGTTTCGCTTTTATTTCTATTTCTTTTATTGAAGATTGATAAAGAGTGCTTTTGATTCCCAATAAAGAAGACGCTCGAGCTGCAAGATAATTTTTTTCACTGTGAAGTGACTTTTTTGATTAGTTAATATCTGGGAAATTTGTTGCTTTTCTGGAACGCGTTCGATACTGCCTAGGCGGTGAATGTTTCGGAAATCGTGAGAAACAAAAGGGCGAGAATGAAAAGTTGCTTGAGAGCGGCCCCTTTCATTTTGGCGGAAAAAGTCCCCACTTAATTGAATGAAACCTTTGGGCTCTTCTTAATTTCCTATCAAAAATTTCAATTTTTTATGCATTAAAATTTTCAACCGGACTTTCAGCTGTATAGTAAAAGTTGTCCTAAATAATGATCAGCAAATGGCAATTTCTGCAAACTTTTTTTCACTCCCTATTCACCAAAGACTAACTCAGCAGTGGACGCTGTCTGATACGGGAATCATACAAAGGCGAAATATTCCTTCACTGATCCAAGCGTCCACTAAACCCTCCATATTCTATTCTAGAATATTTCGGCAAAGAAATGGCAGAATTAATGCCGGCAATCGCATAACAAAGTGTTTTCCGCGACTTTTCCTTTAGGTACAATACAGCGAAACGATTCTAATTATATTCAAGGCAGCTTGCTTTGATAACCAGGCTCGCTCGTAACTTGGCGAGAGGTAAAGTTACCAACAATACCAACTTCATAATATGTCTCTGTTATATCTTTCCTGTGAAATTTACAGGGGGATATTTGCGTCCAAAGATAAAGACAAACTTGGCCTATTTGCCATAACAATGTTTAAACTTGCTTCATTCAAATGAAAACATTGCGCAAAAAGGCTTCATTGTTTCAGAGTTAAACTTTAGGCCACCTCTTTCTCAGTTCTTCCATTTGCAAATAGAGAGTAATTGAAACGAATTAATTTGCTTTTATTCAAGGAATGGGGTTTGTTCGAAAACGACAATTTTGGTTATGTGGATAGTGAATTTTGTGTGTCTGGCCACCCAGAGATTTTTAAATGTGGAAAATCTTGAACAATTTTGAGGAATTTGAAACTACTTTTGGAGCAGAAATTTTCACGACTGCGCCTTTGCGAAACAAACGATGGTAAATTGTTTTTTATAGCGAGATCCAGTCGGCATTTGCTATGTCAATAATTAATCTTTTTTCTTCTGTTCTTCTATAAGATTTTGTCTTTACACATTATGTTTACAGTAGCGTCCCCACAACGTATTATTGCCTGATGATCTAAACTACTGTGCATCTACACGTTTTCATTTTTCTCTGTTTATTTTTTAAGCTCTTTCTTGCTATTAATCCATATATTTTTTCTAAAAACTTGAACACACTGAACTCCACCACTTTTCAAAGTTTCCCAACATGTTAATGAAAACAACACTGCAGTGAAAGCGACAAATAAACGATTTATTTATGGCCCGATGCTACTAATTGCCTCTCGAACATCGACTTGATATTTTATTCAGAAACTCTTCCGCCTATCTCTTATTCTCTATTTTCCTGTTTTCGTGCCGTAACTATTAGCAATTTCCAAGTATACCGACGTTACACAACGAAACTCGGGCATCTAATTTGAATCCATCAACATCTGGAAACTTTCAGGCAAATATACGTAGTTTATCTTTATCATTTGCCGCCTAACGTCATTCTAGAAGTAAAATGACACAGATGGTACATAACAAAGACGCATTACGGTGGAAGTGCTACTTGTAATTTGGCTCTCCTGCAAGTTTTCCCGAGTTTTCGTCATGCTCAACTAGACCCACCACCTACAGAGCGGAGTTATTGTTTGACGAATTAGATTAAAAATTAACCAGGCTTCATGCTCATTTTAGGGAAAATAAAACTTTGGGGGCATCTAAACTGAAGTTTCTTCTGTTATGTGATTTGATAAGCGCGATCATATCGGGCCTAGATTTTGAAAAATTAATTTTTGTTGTTATGTGATGGATCGTCAATCAGGTGTTGAACCATGACACACGCCAAGCAACGCTCACCAGATTGTTTGCCAGTTATGAAACTTTAAGAGAATTTAAAGCGAAGTTTCCCCTTTTAAACGGTGTAACATACTCCTTTTTATCTCGCTCAGTTTTCCCCAAATATTTTTTTCAAAATCCATTTACTCCACTAAGAGATGTTTTGCAGCGCTCATCAAGTGTTGACTCAAACTTCCGCCCCTTCTCACTAGATATTTGATGAAAAATTAAACTTTTAGAGCGTTTAAAACAATTATTTTCCTTTTCAACAGTGTAAAAAGCGCGTTTCTACCTATTTACTTATTTTTAATTTTAGAATTACCCGCAAGATTAATTTTAGAAGAACCGGTTACGCAGCTAAGAGATATGTTGGAGCCTCCATTAAGTTTTGAATCAAATATCGTTCCCTACTCACTACATTTCTTACTAAAAAGCGAAACTTTTAGAGCGTTTAAAACAAAGTTTGCCCTTTCCGACGGTGTAAAAAGTGTTTTTTCACTTAATTTACGTTTTTCAATAGTAATTTTAGAACAACCGCTTATGGAGTTAAGAGCCATATTGGAGCGCCCATCAACTGTTGAATCAAATATCCAAGCCCTACTCGCTAGGATTCTTTTATGAAAAATCCAATGTTTAGAGAGCAGAAAGCAACTATTTTTCTTTCCAACGGTGTAAAAACCGCGTTTCTACCTGATCTAGTTTAAGCAAAATGACTTTTAGAAAAAATGATTAGGTGCTCAACTGAGAGATATGCCCTGCGGACACAGTCTAAGAAGAAGACGTGGACCCCATGCGATGACCAGTTCCTGCACCACATCGAGGACCATGGGCTAACTTTAAGTTAGTTATAGGAAGCAAGAGAGGCTGTTTAGGTTTAGGTTTAGATTAGGTAATTAGGTTAGTTTAGATTTAGTCATATGATGATATCTTAAGGTACACAGAGTGTTAGACACTCTAGCGATGTTAGCATTAAGGATCCATAGATTAAGTAACAGTAAGAAGTTTGTATACTTAGCTGAAAATAAATATGTTCCAAAGCAAAGCTGAGAGATATGTTGGAGCGCCCATTAAGTGTTAGATCAAACATCTGCCCCTACTCACTAAGTTATTTTATGAAAAATTAAACTTTTGGGGCGTTTAAGGTGAAGATTTTCGCTTCTAAAGGTCTAAAATTCGAGTTTCTGTCGGATCTACTTTTAGCAAAAGGAATTTTAGAAGAAGCGTCCCCCCAACTAAGAGATGTATTGGATGGTCCATCAAGTGTTGAATCAAACTCCGGCCAATTATCATGAGATTTTTTATGAAAGGTGAAACTTGGCGGGCATTTAAAGCAACCGTTTCCCTTTTTAATCGTCTGACATCCGGGTTTTGGTCTCATCTAGTTTTTGCAAAATTAATTTTTGAAGAAAAGCTTACGCAACTACGAGATTTGTTGGAGCGCCCATCAAGCGTTGAATCAAATACCCGCCAATGCTTTCCAGATTTTTGCGAAAAATTTAGCTTTGAGAGAATTAAAAGGAAATATTTGTTATTTGCAAATGTGTGAATTGCGTTCGCATCCGATTTCGTTTTGGTAAAATACATTTTTCGAAGGAATATTTGTGGTTGAGCGCCTTTCAAGTGATTCGTTAAATACCTGCCAATTCTCACAGGAATTTTTGCCAAAAGTGAAACTTTGAAAGCGTTTAGTACGAAGGTTTTCCGTCCCAATGGTGGCATCAGCGCATTTCCAGCTAATCTAGTTTATGCAACACAAATTTTAGGAGAAACGCCCCCGCAACTAAGACATGTACTCGTCTATGAAGTGTTGAATCAAACATCAGCCAATTCTCGTAATTTTTTTTTATGAAAGGTGAAACTTTAAGGGCATTTTAAGCAAGATTTCCCCTTCTTAATGATATGACAACCGTGTTTCCACCTAGCCTAGTTTTCGCAAAATGAATTTTTGAAGAAAAACCTGCGCAACTAAGCGATGTGTTTGAGCGCTTTTCAAATGTTCCATCAAACAACTACCAATGTTCACCAGATTCTTTGGCAAAAATGAAACTCTGGGGAAATTTTCCATTTTTAATAGTGAGATAAGCGCGAATCGAGCTTATCTACTTTTGAGAGTCTCCTCAAGAGAGCAGTTGTTCCATTTTCGACATTGTTATACAATTTATCTTTTCAAGAACGCATCTTTAAAACAAACCACAAATGCGCCATACGAAGTCGCAGGTTTTTTATTTTTTCGAAATAAAATATTTATGTAAAAGGAGCAGCTGCACTACAATCCTGCCAAACAATTGTTGAAGTATTTAAAATATGTCTTGCTAGCAAAGTTGAAATTGCACCATAAAGAAATGTTGGATTTCATAAATATCCAATTTTTTAAACTATTTTCTTTAACTGATGAAAAATCCTACAGTGATTTATGTCTGGGTTATCGATATCGTTCATATGAATTATTTATTTGAACATAAATGAATGGGAAATATAAATCAGGAAGACTACACAATTTAGAATAATGCATTTACGTTTTGTTTGTCGATGTGCATAGTAAATTAATTCAATTTAAATATCTCGCATTAAATTTTCCGGTTTATGAATAACCCAATTATTTCACTACCTGAGATCTACGTGACAATGTACATTAAACCGTCATGCAGTTAAATTTCTCTGCATTTTCCTGTCAGTCCGGTACGATGCGATGTAATTCCGCTGCTTGGGTTCAAACACAAAAATGTGCGCTGAGAAGCTGTCGTCAGCAACGAAGACATTTTTTTAAATGAAATATTTAAATGTGAAAAGTTAAGCACATTAATTTACATGGAAACGAAACAGTGTTGAAAAATAAAATAAACTTCTGTATCAAGTAAAACATGATTTATCTATGGATAATTGTCAGAGGGTCGATTGAGAAGAGTCACCTGAAAACGTAGCAGAAATAATTTAATAAAAACGTTTTAAAAGGTTAATAATTAGCCAATAATAACTTGACGTGGTAATAAACATTTCAAACACACACGATCTACATGATTTTCTGTCTGTATTTGAAGTTGAAAATTATTTTCATCAACCAACTGACCCCAAATGAAAAACCGTCGCCTCTGGCTCTTGAAAGCAAATGGTTAATTCTAAAAGTTGAAAAATTTGAATATTCATAAACTGTAAGATGAGCCCACAGTGTGGACATTTCTCCATTTCCGTAGCAATTACAGCACTAATTACGTTACTAATGTTGGCCTAAGCTGTACTTAATTTTGCTCCGGATATTTTTCCTCGTTTTGAATAAGCTGGTTTAGAAGTAAATCCCGACTAAAATTGCGATACGAAAATAAAACCGTGTGATATTTTTGCAAGCAAATTTACTGATTGATCGGTGATTTGTTTAAAACAAAATTAAGTGCGGTTGAAAGGGGCAAATAGTTAAAATTAGAATACATATCGATTAGGCCTGTTAAGGCATTCAGTTGTGCACTGTAGGTTAATAGAACTAATATATTTAGTTCTTATTGACTTGGTGTTCACCATTCCTGGTTCTATTTTTATTCCCATTTTTTTTAATTGCTGAATTATTCATCCTCTATCAAATGTCGCACGACGAATTATATTTAATGACTGTAACCTCCCAACTTATGTACTCCATTGTGATCTATTTCCGAATTTTAGGGCTTTGGGTATGGAGTAGGCGTACTACAAATAAACTCATATTTAAACTGATGAACGGTTTGAGGGCCATTTGTTAGTCGCCCACGATATTTGGGTCTGTTGACCCAAAACTAAGGGTTTTAGAAAGTTTAACACCGTGATAGTTCATTTCTCTATGAGCTCAGAATCAGCATCAAGAGAGTTTTTTTGCAGCCTTACTTGTTTCAAATTTTTATAATAATATACGACATATATCAAAATCCATTTGGTCTCAAAAGCCTTCAGGTTAAATAGACCGACCAGAAAGTAAACCCTGTTTCGAAGTTTTCTTATAATTAACACCGCCCTACCTTTGTCACTTTGGAAAGTTCGCCGGGATATTGCCCAACCTTTTTAATTAATTCCGATTGCAAAGTTTCTCATATTGTTTTCCACTGGAAGGTGGATTGCTTGAAACGACCCTATATTTTGTAAATGACACAATAAATCTGACTGCAACATGGAAATTATTTCACGTTTAAGCGGCACGGGAGTATGTACCTAAAGAGTGAAACTACGCTTTTGTGGCTTTCAAATATACTCGTAATTTGGACAGAAAATGTGAGCAAATGAACAGTTGGACTCTATTATAAAAGTTCTGTTGTTAGTAGCGTTATAAATTGGATCATAGTTTGTGTATTTTATTATTTTATATACATCATTGTATGCATGAGGTCAGGATTTGTTTCATTATTTTGTGATCAATGGCTTTTCTCGAGAAAGAGCTTTCTTTTTTTCTTCGAGATTCGACCGATAGGAAACATAATTATTTATTTGATTAACAGAATTGTGTAATGCATATTTTTTTAGTTTCGTACGGTTTATAAACTTGATAGTTTTTGGCGGTTTTGCAATCTAAATTAACTCATTTAAGCGACTTGTTTACGTCGCTTCAGCTGCACTCATATATTAGATGGAAACGGAAGTTTTTCCCATTCAAACCGTGCATTTGATCAGGCTGGAAAAGTCATAATCTTCGTAGGTAGTTTCAGCTTCATGTTGCTTTCTTTTGAGCTAAAAATCCTTTATATTAAGCTTATTACGGAGAATATTTAATTGTACAAATTCGTACTCAATATAGCTGTGTATTTCTCCGAGGGGTTTATGTTTAGAAAACGCTCTTTTAGTTGTTAAATGCGTACAAATTTAGTTAAAAACAATCTTATGCGTTATTCAACAGTTGAAATTTCGCAAAATATTTATTTCTTTGGAAAAGTGTAATTCTATTCCTCAACTTACTTATATCATTTACTGTGCTCGACCCAACTTTTCTATTATAAAATTACACACTCTAATCATTCTTATTGTATTTTTTAAGTCGAGTAATGTGTTTTTCTAGGAGGCTTGTTACTTCTTACAAAATGTACACACATTAAAATTTTTATGGGTTTTCTTCTAACTGATTTTGATCTAACTATCGTTTGCTGGACTGGAAACTGGGCTTTCATTGATAATTATGTATAATTTCAAGAGTTTATTGACCAAAATATTCACATCTCCGTTAGACTTAAAAAGGATTATTAATTTCGAAAATAACGAACATTTGAAACATTTTTTTGCTGCTACTTACATCACTGAAACGGAGCTGCTAAGCCCGTCTATAAAATTACTTTCGGTTCAGCATGTTTTGATTCATGCAAGCCTATAGATCGCTCATATTTCATCCATCTAGTATCTTTATATTTACAATGGCAATTTCCACAGTTGTTCCTAGATGAAGGTTTCCGACATAAATCAACATGACATAATTATGATTTAGTATAGTTACCTACTGATCTAGAATGGTAGCCATGCAATTCTACGCCAAACCGATCTATATTAAAGCCGTGTCGCTTCTCTATTTATTGAATTTTATTCCCAATTTAAACAGCATTTCAAATCAGTATTTAACGTCAATTAGGATCAGAGAGCCAATGCAAGCGTTAATATAATTTTGGTTTTATTGCAAATCCCATAATGTCAATAGGTTTGTTTTTTAGATTTCTGGACATTTCTTGTTTTATGCTCAGTTTAAAACAGTGGCAGCTCTACTTTCGGCGAAACGATCAGTTAACGAGCACAATGAAAAATGTTCTTAAACCATACATAAACAATAAAAACAATTGTACATGTAAATGTAATGATACATATTTCGACTCTTTTAATCATGTAGATTTCTTCGCGTACTTGGGAATAAATGGAAACTTGTTATTAAAGTAATCAATTACTCTTTATCCGAATAAATAAAAACCTCCAGTTTAAAATATAAACTTGTGCTGAGGCACTATTTAAGTTTATTAATTATTTAATCATGAATTGTTTTTGAACATACATTTTATTCCACTATAATTTTGTGTCATTAATATACCGTTTTAAAATAGTCGATGAATCAGCTTCTTGATTACGGCAATCAACGCTCCATAATTGCCCCTGTTTACCGAGTTTCTAATTTTGAAAATTGTAAAACAATCAATTGGCTCCAAAGTATTGTTGTCAATATTGCGCTGATTGCAACTTTCATATTAAACAATTTTTCGGCGAACGGTGATGTCAATATTTACAATGCATGTTATTTAATATTTCATAAAACTCGAAACTCCGGGTAATTCATGTCGCAAAATTGCCTCGCTGTTTAGTTTTAATGAATGTTTCGGACACCGTTGGAGGCAAAATGTCTGGAATTAAAAACCGACAATTAAATAGGGCTTGAGTAGGAGCGTTCTTTTTGAATAAAACCATATATCCATGCTCTCCCAGGATTATGCTGTGCAGCTTGTTTAATTATTTTTAATTCAAGAGACATCTCTATTGTTCCATCTTGATATTCACGTTTTAGTGAACGTTTTTTTATGATGACCTTTCATAATATGGAAGTTTTAAATTAAGTACACACTTTTGACTTGAGAATTAAACCAAATTGTTCCATTATACTTTGCAATTATTTAAATAGACATAAGATAGGTAACAATCGATATAAAGATTTATTGTCTATAGTATATCTTAACGTGATATTTTTGTTCATCTCTGCTAAGAAAATAGTTCGGGTTTTTGTGACTGGTGCCCTTACCTGAGTGCTTGTTTCGTTTCATCGAAATAGCAGATAATAGTTAAGTTCAATGCAAAAATTTGCCAGATTTTAAGAAAATTACAGAAGTGTTGGGTCGATTTTTTCAAAAAATATTAAGTTTTAACGAATTTTACATAATTTACATTTAAAGGATGCGTATAATGCAACACGCTTGTTGGAAAGAATCGACATATACAGCTCAAATTAAGCAGGTGTTGAGCGCACAGAAACTGTTACGGACGATATTTTCCTTACTACTTACACCTCAAAATTTTTTTATACATAATAGAGCTTTTTAAGTTGAACGTAATCCATTGAGCGTAAAACACAGAAGTAAAATTTTAATTTTCATAAAATTTTATGAGGTCAGAAGGAAGTTGGCGATTTTTTTTAAAATACAAATGGTTTGAAAATGTCTTAAATTCTGCATCATTATTATCCTAAGGAAATGAAGAACACACTTGAAGCTTCAGAATCGAAATAATCTACATTTTAAGCTCATTTTTGGCGTTTTTTGAGCGTTCACGATTTTTAACGAACCATAACTTCCATCTACAGACTAAAATACTTTCGATATGCATGTTGAGAAGCAACTGCGCTGGTTAGAAGTCTCCATTTTAAGACCGATATTTGTTCAGCTGACAAAAAACAAGATATAAGGCGATTTTCATCAAACTTTCGCCGTATTTAGAGTGAAGTGTCTCCGAAAGATGGTGAAAATTTCAAGTCTCTGTTTGCTTCAATTTGGAGAATTTGAATTTTTAAACGATGAGAGAGCGCAGTTGGTTAGAAGCTTTCAATTTGAGACCGATATATGTTGAGCCGAAAAAAAAAACAAGATTTAAGGCGATGTTCATGAAACTTTCGCAATATTTAGAGTAAAGTACCTCCGAAAGATGGCAAAAATTTCAAGTCTGTGCTCGCTTCAATTTGGAGTATTTGAATTTTTAAATGATGAGAGAGCGCAGTTGATTAGAAGCCTCCATATGGAGACCAATATTGGCTGAGCTGAAAAAAAAAAGGTGTAAGGCGAGTTTCATGAAACTTTCGCCGTATTTTGAGTAAAGTGCCTCCGAAAGATGGTGAAAATTTCAAGTCTCGGTTTGCTTCAATTTGGAGGATTTCAATTTTTAAATGTTGACAGAGCATAGTTGGTTAGAAGCCTACCGTTGCAGACCGACCTTTGCTGAGCTGGAAATAAATAAAATTTAACGCGATTTTCATGAAACTTTCGTCGTATTTAGAGTGAAGTGTCTTCTAAAGATCGTGAATTTTTCAAGTCTCTGTTTGCTTCATTTTGAAAAATTTGAATTTTTAAATGAGAGAGCGTACTTGTTAGAAGCCTCCAATTTGAAACCGACATTTTCTCAGCCTTCCAAAATGCAGGATTCTAGTCGATTTTCATGAAACCTTGGGCAACTTCAGAATTAAGCATTTGCTAAACTGACTTAGAAGATGTTGTTTAACAAAAAGAGCAAACTTGGATGAAAACATCCAATTTGAGAGCGATATTTGAGACACTGGTTACAAGAGGGATTTGGGGCGGCGAAAGCAATCCATTGTGCTCAGAAAACAAACACACATAAGCAATTTTTATTCTGGAAAGAGGTCGATTTAAAAAAAAACATTTTTCTGTAAAAATCATCAAACTATAGCTGTTTCATATGAAGAGTAAGATGACAGCGAATAACTGAACTGAGCCAGTCAATTTGATTCTAAATAAACTGATCAATTGAGAGCAACAAATGGGTTTATTTTACGTAAAATATAATAAAGACTCTCAATCTCAATCGCTCAATAGTAGCGACATTTATTGTCGTCTTGATACAGACAATATCGTATTCGTCTGTTCCTCTTTAATATTAATGAGCACTTAACGATAAATTAAGCAAAACACAAAGGACTAATATATTCTTCAGAAGGTGCCTTTCTCCATAAATATTGCCTTTGTTTCATGTAATAACCCGACATTAAACCTACCTGTCAGACCGATCTATCCAAAGCTTGTTTTACAAAATTTGCTTTGGCTTGTCTCAATCTAGAGGTGTGGGCTCGATTTTACAAATCAAAAGCTGGCTATCTGAGGAAGCAAATAATCGACAAGTGGTAAGAGCATGGAAAAACTATTTTTTTGACTGTACAATTCGTAAATATAGTGGAAACATATCGAATCTTAAGAGTTCGATTTAAAAACATTGGGTGTGAGACGTTTTCAAAGGCAAAAATGCTTTTCGTCCATCTGGGGAGGGTTGAAGGAATAAGTTATTCAAATAATATTTTGATCCAACGGCTTGAAACCAACTGAGCAGGAACAGTTTAGTAAATAGGAATAAATAGGTAACAAGTACGCTAACATAAGTTTTTGAACTTTCCAAACTTGGAAATTCACATTTTTAATATAATTGGATATAAACATCCCGTTCATAAAACTATCCCATATGCCTAAACCGTAAAATCGAAATTGAAAATTTTGCTCCGAGGAGAAATTCAGTTAGTTCCATTGTGTCAACTTTATAGCCCAATTTCAATTTTATAGAGTTTTACGATGGGTTAAAGTTATTTCTCTAACCGTTTTGTTTGTGCATTTTGTTCCTGTATTTTGCCCAGTTGTTGTAGCTACTTTGTTTCCTTATACTTTGTTGTGTTTCACTAAGAATTGCTAATGAAAACACAAAAGAAGCTACATCATGTTCAAACACACTGGGGGCTTTGTTTCATATTACTCGTCCGCTTTAGACACATACATATACCTGTGCGAACGACGTGTTTAAAGCTTATCCAACAAAATTCGCAAGATAAGCCTTTACACGAGCCAAAGTTGCCTTTTCAGATGTCATTTGATAAAGACCCAGTCATTTGCAGAATCGTGTGACAAGTCGTTTTTCGGCTCAGGAAAATGGGCCTATTTTGCATCAGCATTATGATTTCGCGTTCTACTCTGACTGAGAAAGTGGCGAATTGTTTATGATCTATTTTACTTTTTATTTTGAAGTTATTTATTTAAAACTTGTGTAAAAAATGTGGACGAAAACCGGATGGAAAAGGGAGTCGATTCCCAAGTTTAATAATTTTGTACTCTTGTAAGAACAGCACCCAAAAAATAAAAATCTTGCAGAGCATAGTCCAAATCACATTTAGTCCCAACAATTTCTCGAGCTGTAAAATGCAGTTGAAGAAATAGTAGACACACTTATACCAACTGTTTTAAACCTTTCATTATTGTAAACACTTTCTATGTGAATGCTTCACTTCGATTCGACAACTTTCTTCTCAGAAAATGCTTCTATCTTCAAACTTTTTGCAGCAAGTTTATCTCGCAAAACCCTAAATGTTCTGTAGTTCGTAATACGACGAATTATGCAAACGCTGTTAAATCCAGCGTCTTTCAAATTAAGAGAAAACTTCCCTTATTGTTTGAAACTGAATCCGATAATATCCAGATTGAAGACGAATTGACAATATTTACTTTGCTTCAAACACCATGCTGTCTAGAGAAAAAGTGCGTATTCTTCAATGCCTGTCGAGGCTTCAGACGAAATCCCACATCAAATAAAGTGAACGTGCTTTCTGGCGAAATAAACAAGATTAATTCCCGAATTGGGATATTTATGGGAGCGAATTCAAAGTAGCCCCAATCTCAATACGGAAAATTTCCCAAGTTTTTCTCGACCCTGAATCAATCTTGCTA